AGGAGGGAGAGGGTGCTGGGCAGTGAGGTGAGATCGGACCCACAGGGGCCCCTGACTCCTGCCTGGAGCCCTGGGCCCTGGGGAGACTGGGTGGGTCAGACCCCTCCTCCAGAATCCTCCTCCAGGAGGAGCCGCCTGGGAGGGCCTGGGTTGGGGGAGGAGGCGGGAGAGGAGGGAGGGAGGGAGGGCCGGGCCTCTGTCCACAGCATTAGTGCTGGTTGGAGGGAGAGGGGGGTACAGAGCCAGCCAGGCCGCCAGTTCCCATAGCTGCGGAGCAGAGCGTGCTGCCATGGCGCTGGCCAGGCCACGGACCCGGGACCCCAGGTTCCCAGCCCCTTTCTTGCTGCTGATGCTGCTCTGGGCCCCTGCCCTTGCCCTCCTGGCCGGTGAGTTGGGGCACAAGCCTTGGGGGGGACCTGAGCAGGCTGTGTGTCCCAAAGCAGACACCCCAGGCCCCGGAGCTGTCCCTGGGGGTGCCAGCCCAACTCTAGGGCTGGGGTACAGGCCTGAGTTGTGGCGTGCACAGGAGTGCAATGCTGTGGGGTGCAGTCCTGAGTTGTGGGGTGCACAGGAGTGTGATGCTGTGGGGTGCAGGCCTGAGTTGTGGGGTGCACAGGAGTGTGTTGCTGTGGGGTGCAGGCCTGAGTTGTGGGGTGCGGAGGAGTGGGTTGCTGTGGGCCACTGGAACTTGTGTAGAGGCAAATGTGTCCTGGGACTTCAGGCTGTTGTGTGTTGGGGGGCTTTGTGGGCCAGCTGTGACCTGGGTAATGGGGTGGGCTGTGTCTTAGGAGGGGTGTTGGGGTGGGAGTGCTGGGTTGTGAGGCCTGTGCTGGGTTGTGGGGTGCAGGTGGGGGGTGTTAAAGTTGTGAGGGAGGATGACCTGTGTTGGGTGAGCCTGGGTGTGTCTGAGGCCTTCTCAGGGTGGTGGGCTGTCCTAGTGCGAGCTGTGGGGTGCAAGTTGTCCAGGGGGTTGAACTGTGTCTTGGGGGCCTGGGGTGGGGGCAGCAGACCCAGCCTAGTGGATTGGGTTGGAGAAGGGGAAGGGGACCAGGGGAGCCTGGTCTCTGCCGACATCCCTCATTTGTGCTTTCACACCGCCTGCACTGGGGGGACGCAGGTGCACTGGGGTCCCTGGGGTGGCTGGGTCCTTGGGAGCATGGTGCCCACGGCTGCCCCTGCCCAGGCATTCCCAGACGGAGCTGAAAGGCTTCCCGAAGCCGGACCCTACTGGCCAAGCCGTTTCTGCTTTTGTCCAAGTAGATTCACGTGTGCGCGGGCCTGGAGTTCTTCCTGGGGGGTCGGGGGATGCTTTGTCTTGGTCACTATGGCTACTAGGTCCCCCACCCCCTCCCACTGCTGGAAGAGGGAACCAAGCAGGCAGTGGCCTGGGCTCCACGGTGGCTGAGGAGCCCCTACCTCCTCAGACTCCCAGGGTGTGGGGTCAGGTCCCCCTAGGCCCGTGATCGGCAAACTGCGGCTCGCGAGCCACATGCGGCTCTTTGGCCCTGTGAGTGTGGCTCTTCCTAAGCCTTAGGAGTACCCTAATTAAGTTAATAACAATGTACCTACCTATATAGTTTAAGTTTAAAAAATGTGGCTCTCAAAAGAAATTTCAATCGTTGTACTGTTGATATTTGGTTCTGTTGATATTTGGTTCTGAGTTTGCCGACCACTGGCCTAGTCCACTTCCTCCAGCCTCATGGGCCCGGCTCACAAAGCCTTCGGCCCTGGGGGGCATGAGGACCCCATGGTGCAGCGGAGGAAAACGAGTCTCGGGAAGGGATAAGGCTTATGAGCTGGACCCCCCAGGCATGTCTGGGCTCATGAGAGGCGCTGGGGCCTGCTATCTGCACTGAGACAAGAAATCCTGGTCTGCGGATCTGGAGACTGTCCCTTGTCCTACAGTGTGCACGCACACAAACGCACACTTGTACACACACGTACACACAAATCACACCTGTGCATACATACACACAAATGCACACACACCCCTGCACATGGGTGTGGCATGCACAAGAGCACACACCACCTCATGAACAGGTGTCCACACATGTCGACCCACAGGATGCAAGCGCTCACACACACCTACATGTGCCGGCACCCACCAATGAGAGTGTGCTGACGTGTGTGCATCCACACTCAGATACACATTCGTGTGATCCTCGAGGCAGAGTGAACAAAGAGTAAATGGTGCTACAAAAGCAAATGGACTCACAGACACCCCCGCACACTCACCCGCTGGGGTCTCCGAGGGGAGCCTGCCCCTGTGATTTCTGCATGGAAGCCCCCTCCCTGGGGGTCCCTGAAAGCTGGGGCGGGGGCACTGCAGGCATGAGCATTTTGGATGCCAGTTCTCCAGGCCTGACTGCCAGGCGGAGAGGGCCTGGGGACTGTATCACCTGAAAAGCCATTTCCATCCCAGAGGGCATGGAGGTTCTGGAGGCCCTGGGCCCCTGGCTCTGCTGCCCACCCCTGCCAGGCCCGCGCCTGGCCCCTCTCCGGAGCCCACGCTGCCACAAAGACTCTGCCGGTTGCTAGGAGAGGACCAGGCATCTTGGAGGACAATGGGCACGCTGGGCTCTCACATCCCTCCTGCTCCCAGAACACCCAGGGAGCCTGGCTGACAAAGGGGCAGCCCTCCAGTCCCCAAGTCTGGCCCCTCCTCCAACCAGAGCTGATGGGGCCTGCAGAACAGAGGCAGGGAGGGAAGAGCTGCTCACAGGTACCCAGCACCAGGGTTTGCTGGATGGTCAGTGTTTGCCTCGGGTAAAGATATGTAGGCGAATGAATAAACAAACAGTATCAGCCACTATGTGGTCGGTGCTATGCTACTGGACCAACATGGTCAGTTTCATTCTCACCACAGCCCTATGAGACCCTCAGTTTACCAAGGAGGAAATGAGGCCCAGAGAGGGTCAGTAACTTGCCCAGAGTCACAGAGCCAGTGGTTGGCAGGGTCAGGATGTCACAGTGAACTATAGCACCAGCTGGTATAATCACCTCTCCTAGGCTAACTCTAAGGCCGGCGTGAGACCTGATGAGAAAATACTCTGGTTCTTCAGCTGAGGTGCAGCATGGGATCCCCAGTTTCAGAAACTTTAGACTGAACCAGAAGCCACTGTAGTTAAAGGTGAAATAATTACAGGTGGCTGGTGGGCGGCAGGCCGGAGCCCCATCTGCTCCGTGGGACCCTCCTTACGGGGAGCGCCTCCCTGGGGATCCCTGAAAGCTGGGGGTGGGGGCACTGCAGGCACGAGCATTCTGGATGCCTAGTGCTCTGAGGCCGTGGTTTGGAAACTCCGGGATGTGCCAGTGCCAGGAGTGGGGGAGAGGACGAGAATCCCCTAGTTATTGTTGTGGTTACTGTTACCAGAATTATGCTTTTAACCTCAGGGATTCCAGCTTTGTTACTGGGTCCCAGGCTTGGGGCCACTGATATGAAATGAACATGGCCCTTCTGCCAGGAGCTCTGCACCTATGAGACCCTGGGTCGCTTCTTCTTAAAATGTTTTTCCTTTTGACTTTCAGATAAAATCTACTTATTTTTTTCATCCTCACTTAAGGGTATGTTTTTATTGATTTTAGAGACAGGGGAAGGGAAGGGAGAAGGAGAGGGAGAGGGAGAGGAAGAGTGAGAGGGAGAGAGACACATCTATTGCTTGCCTCCCATACATACCCTGACGGGGGATCAGACCTGGGTATGTCCCCTGATGGCGAATCCAACCCTCGGCCTTTCAGTGTACGGGTGGATGCTCCAACCAACCGACTAGTCAATAAGTTTACATACATGTCAAGTGTGCGAGTCTATGATCCTTCATCTGTATACTGCATCGTGTGCCCAACACCAAAAGTCACTGGGTCACTTTTTAAGGATAGTCTCTCGCTGGCCTTGTCCAGACAAGACGCTTCCCAAAATCCACGCCCCAGAAACAGTTCTCATTGTGGCTGGCAGTTTCCACCGGGCCTGTTAGAAGTGCCCAGAGAGCAGGAGTCACTAAGCACTGAGGGAGGCCTGAGCCCAGGAGGACTGCTGATGGCCAGGTTCTGGACAGACACCCAGGACTGCCCGCTCTCCCAGGCACATCCTGGAACCTCCATTCTTTTTTCTTTTTTTAATCCTTCCCCGAGGATATGTTTTTATTGATTTTTACAGATAGAGGAAGAGAAAGAGAAACAGTGATGTGAAACTTCAATAGGTTGACCCTCCCCTCCCCTGAAATGACTGGCTATTGAACCCACAACCTTTTTGTGTACTGGAGGGTGCTCCAACCACCTGAGCCCCTGGCGGCCGAACCTCCACTCTTATGCTTGTGCATAGAGACCCCATCCAGTGCCCAGGAGGCGGGGCTGGAATGCACTACAGTGGCAGCACAGGGTGGCAATGCAGAGTCTGCCCAGGGGAATTTCGCATGCCCGGGAGATGTGGGCCTCTCCCAAGTCTGAGACATCTGTTCTCAGTTTTTTGAGGGATGGTCCGGGCAAGTTTACAACCTCTGAGTCAGAAAAAACAGTTTTCTCAACAGCACCCATGCCTAGTGGTTCTCAACCTTCTGGCCCTTTAAATACAGCGCCTCATGTGACCCAACCATAACATTATTTTCGTTGCTACTTCATAACTGTCATGTTGCTACTGTTATGAATCGTCATGTAAATATCTGATATGCAGGGTGGTCTTAGGCGACCCCTGTGAAAGGGTCCTTCGACTGCCAAAGGGGTCGCGACCCACAGGTTGAGAACCGCTGGAACTTACAGCAACATAATAACGTGGTCATAGATGCGAGATGTGAGCACAGCCAGAGCACATGGTACACACTCAGTAAACGGCTGCTGTTATTGTCATCCCGCCCTGTCCACGGAGAAATTTCCCTTCTGGGCCTGCCCAGGGCTGGGCAGCCGGTCCGAGGGGAGGGGCGCTGTCAGTTAATCCGTCCCCTGCAGGTCGTCCCAGGCGGCCTTAGAGGTCAGCAGGGATTTGTAAAGATAAGCACAGGCCCCTCGTTACCCTGGCAACAGGCCCCGCCCCTCCTGCCGGGCCCCTGGGACGGCCCCGCCTCTGCCCTGGGTCCTTACCCCTCCTCCCCTCCGCCCTGGGCTGGCCTGGCCTCGGGGCTGGCTCCTGGGAGACAGAACCGAGGTCAGCAGTTCCCAAGCCCCACTGTACAAGGGACGCCTGGGAGCAGCTGCAATGCAGATTCTGGGGCCCGGGGCCCAGGGGTTGGGATCTCTAGGTCGGAGCGGGGCCCAGGAAGGGGAACCCTCACACAGGCGGCGGGGGCGGGGCTCTGGAACCGGTGGAGGCCCCGCAGCAGGGAGAGCTGGGCTTGCATTCCAGCCCCTCCTGGGCTGCGGGACTGGGCTCATCTCTGAGCCTCTTTCCTCAGCCGTGGAACAGAAGCAACAGCTCTACCCACCTCCTCAGTAAACACGCAGATTCACTGAGATTACACAGAGATAGGCTGCCCCCGGCGGCCAGGCTAGTGGCGCTATTGCACGCCTCCCCGGACAGACTGCTCCCTCCCTCTCTGCGGGGCTCTGACAGGGCGAACTCCTTCCCCCAGGCACGGGGCTCTGTCATTCAGGGCCACAGCACACCTGCTCCCACCTTCCCACTCCCCCAGGCACTGCCTGGGCGCCTCTGCTCTGAAAGGGTACAGCTCCAGGTTGGGGTGGGACCCCGGGGCCGCACGGAGGAGGGTGGCACCTTGCTGGAATGAAATGGCACAGGCCCAGCAGCCAGAGCCCTTCAGCTGGGCCCTCTGAGTGCTGCGCTCCCCGTTCTGAGCGAGCCTGGGTCAAGGGACCCTGATCATAATGGCCGGAGCCCTCACTGAGGGGCCACTGGGTGCCGGGGCTTCACCCATGTCATCGCAGTGGCTCCCTATGAGGTGGGCCCTGTCAGCACCCTGATCCAAGCCAGGTCTGCCCGATGCCAACCCTATTCCTTCCATGAGGGAGCTGAACTCACTCCCACCCCCTTCAATCCCCTTCCCGCCCCCATCACAGCATCTAGCCCTGGGGACTGGCTCCTAAGTGATCAGCCACAGCCACTCGGAATGGGAAAAAGATGGGCTGCCCATAAGCCCCGAGAGAGGCCCAAATACCCCCTGCCCTCACCCCTGCGACCAGGAGAGGGGGGTGGGGATGGATGCCCTGAGCTGGGGAGAGGAACAGTGGGCAGAGGGGGTCTGTGGACCCCATGGCCCTAGAAAGTCATCTGGCTTGATAGCATTTGAGACCCTCTGCCCCTCTGCCACTAGCCTGGCCCTGGTGGGACTCCCAATTTGGGGCTGGGAGTGAGTGAGCCCACGTTGAGCTGTACCAGGTGCCCTGGGTGCTCCGAGTGGGGGTGGCAGCGGGATCCTCTCCCTGCGTCTATTTATTGGTCAGTATTCCCGTCTCCCTGTCCCCCACCCCGCTTGGCCCTGGCTGGGAAGGGTGGGGGTCGGCCGTGGACAGCCTTGCCTTGTGGAATGTGGATGACGCCTGAGAGGCTGCGGAGCCTTATCTGGGGGTCTTCACCCGGGTGGGGGAGGGGAGGCACAGGGCCTGGTTAGTGTCTGGATGACAACTTGGCCAGGGAAGGGGCACCTCTCAGAACCCCAGGTGGGGAGGGGGGTGCCTCCTTCTTATGGGCGACTCCCCCTCCCCCATCACTTACCGAGTTCCTACAAGCGGGGATTGGCTGCAGTCCCTGAGGCTCTGAGTCCTATCACACCCTCTGAGGCACGGACTATCAGCACCCCCTTTCGGACTGGGAGATGCAGCTCCCTAGGAGGAGCGACTTGCCCACCGTCCCAGAGCTAGTAACTGTGCTGGGATCTAACACAGGCTGTTTTACTCCAAGGTCTGAGTTCTTACTGTTCTTACTCCAGAATTATACTGACAGACTGACAGGCTGGGAGGGAGGGAGGGAGGGAGGCTGGCTCTCGACCTGGCTTGGCTTCCGGATCAGTAGGCGACCGACCCTCTAACAGGGAGCTCAGCACAGGCAGCACAGCGGCCAGAGCCAGGGGTTGTCAGCAGGTCTCATACCTGCCCTGTGACCTTAGCCAGGCTGCCGCTCAAGCATTTGCTGATGGGGGTACAGTGAGGGCCAGGGATCCCGTGAGAAGTTCCCAGAGCAGTGGGGTGGGCTGGGAAGAGGGGGAGGGGGAAAGAAGGGCCTTTGAAGTCCTCCATCTTCGATTTCACTCAATTTCACGCAGGGATGGAGTTACCAGACCCCCAGCAGGAGTGGCGGAGGGGGCAGTGGGAAGAGCCCTGACCTGGGCCCTCTGGGAGGGAACGGGCCATGGACAGGAGACCCCCAGCCCAGTGGGGCTGACCCCGGCGGGAAGGCCTGGAAAGCTGTCCCAGCACCAACTTGCTGTGCGATGGCCTCTGGCAAGTCCTCACTTTCTCTCTCGAGCCTCACTCTGCTCTCTTGTGAAATGGGCATGACAGGGCCTGCCTCAAGGGGGCGCTGCAGGGATGCGAGGGAACGGAGAGCAGGCTCCCGGGAGGGCTGCCTGCTCGCCAATCCTGAGCGGAGTAGCGTCCCAGGTCCTATTTTTCTGCCATGGAGGCTCCTGAACTACTCCCAGTCCCGGGCGTGGCTGTGTGCAGCCTGCTGGGACCTGGCTTGCAGAGCCACCGGCCCCTTCTCCATCCTGCCCAGTGAGGACAGACCCTGCGGTTTTCTGTCTTCAGGGACCAGGGCAAGTGTGGGGAGGGGAGTGGCCGGGAGCCCCTGCCCACCCTGTCTCCTCTCTTTACAGGAACAGAGCCTTCAGAGGCTCAGAGTGCCTGCGCCTCAGACCCATGCTCTCCAGGGACCCAGTGCCAGGCTACGGAGAGCGGCTACACCTGCGGGCCCACCGAGCCCCAGGGCTGTGCCACCCAGCCCTGCTACCACGGCGCGCTGTGTGTGCCCCAGGGTCCAGGTCCTGCCAACTTCCGCTGTTACTGTGTGCCTGGGTTCCAGGGTCCCCGCTGTGAGCTGGACATCGATGAGTGTGCCTCCCGGCCCTGCCACCACGGGGCCACCTGCCGCAACCTGGCCGATCGATATGAGTGCGACTGCCCCCTTGACTATGCAGGTAATGGCCCTGGCTGTGCCCGGGGGAGATTCTGTGATGTCCATCCCATTGGCTCAGAGTGTGGAGTCAGCGATTCAGTTTTGACTTTAGTAGAGACACCCCCACCTCCTTTCCAGGCATCCTGGCAGCTCTCAGGGACAGCCACGCTAGGTCCTGACACTTCTGGGGCTGCCCTGGCAGCTCTGGGTGAGCGTGGATGTGTAAGCACTGGTACGGTGCCTGGCACAGAAAAGGCACTGCACACGCGCTCCCTCAGTCCCTTCCAGAGTTCCCACGCGTGCTAGGTGTGGAGACACCCTTGGGCATCTCTGGTGGGACTGGAGTGTAGAGCTGCCTGGATCGGCCTTAGTGAGTACACACCTAGTATTTCTCACATCTACTCACTCCACACCTGTGTCCGGCTGTGGTGTAGACTTCCTGTCACTCATCGGATGATTCTATGAACACCCCTGGTATGGTCTAGGTCCGTGGTCAGCAAACCGCGCTCGCGAGCCACAGGCGGCTCTTTGGCCCCTTGAGTGTGGCTCTTCCACAAAATACCACGTGCAGGCACGCACGTACAGTGCGATTGAAACTTTGTGGCCCGTGTGCAGAAGCCGGTATTTGTGGAAGAGCCATACTCAAGGGGCCAAAGAGCCCCATGTGGCTCGCAAGCTGAAGTTTGCTGACCACGGGTCCAGGTTGTAATGTGGACCCCTTCCCTGGGTAGCCCCCCAAACTCCAGCAGAGAGACATGGTGGTCTTGTTCAAACTGGACGGTGGGACTAATCCCAGGGGCCTCTGCGGTCCAGTGGGAAGTGGAGATGC